TTCTGTCGCTCCAATGTGCTTTCCCACTCTTACTGCCTGCACCCTGACATCATAAAGCTCTCCTGCTCCAATACCAGGATCAACAGCATCTTTGGGCTCTTTGTGTTGCTGTCCACCATGGGGCTTGACTTCCTCCTCATTCTGCTCTCTTATGCATTGATTCTGAAGACTGTGCTGAGCATCGCCTCCCACGGTGGGCGCCTCAAGGCTCTCAACACGTGCATCTCCCACCTGTGTGCGGTGGTCCTGTTCTTCACACCCATGATCTGCCTGTCCATGCTGCACCGCTTTGGCCCCAGGCTTCCCTCCCACGTCTACGTGGCCATGGCCAACATGCACTTCCTCATTCCTCCCGTGATGAACCCCATCGTGTATGTGGTGAAAACTAAGCAGATTCGAGACAAAATCCTGAAACTCTTCTTCAAACAAAGAGTAGAAAAATCTGAAGTCATGTTTGTAACTTAAATCTTATTAAACTAATATCTTAATTCATATGTGCCATCCTAATTCGTGTATGCAGTCTTACATGTATCTCTACATTGATATAGAAAAAAAATGCATAAACAGTTCCTAGCACATAGTCCTCCAAATTGCACAGGCTATAATTTTTTTGTTTTATCCTTAGCTATTGTGAAAATTTACCACGTAAATTTCATTGTACATTTGATTTTGCTCCTCATGTGATTTTCAATCTGTTTTTTACAAAACAATACAAAAGCATTGTCCTTAGCTTTTTAAGAATAAATTTATTCATTAGATTTTGTAGTATATTGATTCATTTAAATCCAATAGCCCCCATTCACTGCACTAGTATTTACATGGGTTTTCTATATATGAAACATCTGTTCATTTTTTTTTTTGTGCATAGTTCATGTCAAACAAATTGTGACTACTAGACTAGTATAGATATTGAATAGTTTGAGTGCAAGTTCAGTATTTTCTTATTCCAGTTGGATGAATGATATTGGATAACTAATTTCTATAACAACACCTATATAAAGCAAATTTTAAGAAATGGCATAATTATTCATATGACTGATGCTAAGCCACAGAGAATATAACTATGATTTCTTGAGTACAATACTGGATAATTGTTTTCCTATCTGTCTTTTCTTACTCATGGATAAATGTAATAATGTCATCTTGGACTCATTCTTAGACACTTTAGTTTTTGTAGTTGGGGAAGTAAAATTATCTTTTAAAGCTTATTTTATGAAAAATACGTTTCAGAACAAAATAAGAGGGAAGTAAAGTTCTTGATATATAAATCAATGAAGATTCTTGTTCAGGCCACAAATAAAATCGTACATGTAATAGAGACTAAATGCCTTCTCATATTCATGCTAGGGATAAACTCAAGAAAAAAAAGCTGAATGAATGCTTTCCTACACATACTCAGTGTAGTCATATAATGACAGGAGAGGGCTAGAAGAAATGAGCTCGGGTCACAAGTGTGTTGTACTCAGCTTACACTGATGTTTGTAGCTAGAGCAATACGTTTGGCCAAAGTCTGAGAACCACAACTCTAGGATACTACAACGGGTAGTGAGTAATGATGTTACCCTTGTACCCAAGGAGAATTCCTGGAAAAACTGGACTAGTAGTCTTTGTGAACATGAGATTTAGATTTATTGATTTATTGTGGCTACTTGTCAGATGTAAGTTTTGTGCATGCTGATCACTTAGCAGATATGTGAGGAGCTACCCTTAAAAGTCCCGGGCTCCAAAGCTCAAGTAGGGTCCCTGGATAGATGCACCTTCCATGTGTATATCAGGGATGGTGAATCTGCTAAAGCTTCAATGATACAAACAGCCCACTGGGACACTTAGGCCATTGTTCAGACCACTGATCTATAAGGTTCACAGCTCAAATGACTGTTACAGAAGAGAGGAAATAATCAGAAACTTGTACCTAGCTAAGTTCTCTTACATTTACTTTCCTTTTTAATGATAAAAAATATCTTATTTAGACTTCTTTTCATGAACACTTTTTACATTTGTTTTTTAAATTTAAAAGTGTAATGAGTAGCATAATTATGTTGGGATACTGTACTCGTGCTTTGGAAAAAATTACCTGAAAAAAATATAAAGACTTTCAAAATAGATTTTAAAAAAGGCGAACATCTAACTGTTTCAAGGTTTTTATACTGGTCCTATGATTATTTTGCTACCAGCCCAAAATGTACTTCAAGTGAAAATATTTTTTCTGTAGAACAAGTATGTATGGAGCATAAACAACTTAGGTCACAAATTAGCTCACTGATCCTCTTTCAGGAGCATCTCCTCAGAAAACAAACTCTCAATCTTTACTGCTATACTGATTAATAAAATTTTAATGCAGTTGTTCCCCAAAGACAGAAAGAAAGACCAAGAATTTTCAGAGGGAACAAAGCTGATGGCTTTCTTTTCTTCCCTGTTACGATATAGTGTTCTTTGTTACTATATAGTGTTAATTGCATGAGTCCCTCCAGGGCACTGTGGAGCCAGGGACTCAGAGCTCACCAGAGATGGCCTGTATGTCCATGGCTTTCCTGGGATGGCCTTTGGTTCCTCCTTCCTAACTTAGGATCTAACTTCTTAAGTCACTCATGACAAGCTCTACATCTATGAAATTGAAAGTTTCAATTTCAAGACCACATACTCAGATTAAGACTAAGTTCAAACTCCTTCCATTTGTGTCCAGTGAATACTTTAAAATACCCTTAAACTTGTTCCTGAGAAAACAGGAACTGCTTATTTGAAGACAGTAAAAGACAGTAAAAGGAAAATCTTATTCAAGAGCAGCCATATGCTGCTATAACAAAAAGAAATTAATGAGAAATAAATCTGGACAGATCATTTTTTAATTGTCAATCAGAGAAATAGTCTTGTATATATTAAATTCCAACTTGATTTTATTTCAGTTTACGAAAAAAATCTGAATTAAGGAAAGGAGTGATTTTTTTTGAGGATATGGATTTTCTTTTATGTAATTTTCAAGCATTTAATTAGTAGTACAAGCTTTGGCACAAGAATGATCACATTCATTGTGGAAAACTTGTACACGTACACAACACAACTTAATTCTTTTTATATTTTGTTTCCTTCCTACATTAGAAAGTAGGAAACTCTTTTTCAAAGAGGAAGACGAATAAGAGTAGGATAGAGTGGGAAAGGAAAGGAGGGAAAAGGAATTTTAAAAAAGAGTTGAAGAACAATAATAGATATAGAGCATTTACCAATGGGGAGGGGATATGGAAGACTTGTTGGTCTGGGGCTCTAAATATGGTGCAAGATATTCTTGGGCCAGCAAAGCAAAGGCCTGGGAAAAGATTTCTTTCGCTAAGGAGGTAAAATAATATCAACCTAGGAATAGAAGAAAAGAGTCATGACTGGTTTCATGTTCTACTTTTTGTTTGCTTATTTATTTATTTATTTATTTATTTGTATTTTAGGGAAGAGTCTGCAGGGTGCTCAGGGTCTCACTACTGGATCAGACTCATAGTGATCTGCCTGTTTACAGCCTCCCAAGAGCTAGGATTACAGGCACGCGCCACCACACCCAGTCTCATCATGGCGTGGTGGCTCGTGCCTGTAATCCTAGCCCCGGGCACAATCTCATCACGCCCGGGAGGCGGGGCCGGCAGGGCTGGTTTCATGTTCTAAGCCACCATGTACTAAACTGAATATCTAGCAAAGGCCTCCAGGGAGCCTCCTAAACAGCTCCGTCCGGCGCCTGCGCTTTCAATGTTGCTCTGCTCACCAGTCCCACAGAGGTTACGCGTGGGCCTCCAGGGAGATCCCGACCAAGGATTTATAAACCTGCTGGCCTGTCTTTGTGGTCTAGGCAAAGGGCCTCGTGAGGCCCAGCTTCATCAGCCTGCACAGAGCTGTGTCTCTGTGCTGGAGTCCGGTAAGTGATGGAGCTGTATTAGGCAAGGTTAGTGAAAGCAGGCCTTTTTGTGTCTGGGGCGGAAGTCCTGGGCTAGCCTAGACATGGCTTGTAATTATATTTGCGGATATCTGAGGACAAGGAGACAGTGTTAAAAGTACACAGCACCTCTGCTGCTTTCATAAGATAAAGTCTAGGAGGGGACCAAGGGACAGAGGAAGGAATAAGGGAGGACAGAGAAAGGGGAAGTAAAACTATTGTTACGTTCTTGTGCCAGCTCTCCACACTCAGTGGAATCATTATGTATAGATAAAAAATAAAATTAAAATAAAAGATAAATTTCAGTTTTGTGAAACAATCTCAGATCTTTCATCTACCAGTCAATAATTGTTACTTTTGAAGTTTAAAATGAAATGTAAGTGAAACTTTAATTTATATTGAATACTAGAAATTAAAAAGAATAACTGATATAAGAAAACGGTAAGGGAACGAAGAGAGAACGATGAAAAGAAGAAGGAAAAACTAAAACAGGATTTCCAACTCACAGAGCACTGTACTAGAGGCAACACCAATAGCTGCCAAAGGGACTTCAAAAACACAGAGTTAAATGATAGATATTTAATTTCTGAAGTGATAGTTTAAAGGACTGATACTATTTGTCATAGGTTACAATATTCATTTTGAGAAACAAAACACTGCTGCATTACTTGCTGAAGAATTCATGCAACGTATTTGTATAGGCCTTATTTGTACTTCTCAGACAATAAACTCTGGGTGCCACTGCATGGGTAACAATCCTAGTCTCAGAAAGTTTAAACTGTTTTCTCATAAATCTAAAAGTCGTGCAAATTACGGTCTTCAATAGAGACCAGACATTGTGCAACAAACCTGCCATCTACTGTGAGCCGCTCTTAATGAGGCAAGTAGGAAGGAAAGTACATTATTATTTTCAAGATCATCCAACAAACTCTGGCCTTTACCGAAAGAGGGTGCTTGTCCTTGCATTCATTTTTATCTCCTGTCATTTTAGCATTTATGTCTGAAGAACTCTGAATGTTTTGCAACTTGGGTCTCTCATCTAGGTATAGATCAATGTCAACCATGTGTCACTGCTCTATGCAGAATATTAAATGACTGAACATTAACCATCCAAAAACAATATCTAAACTGATATGCTGAGCTGTAAAAGGCTCGTCAACAACTTCTGACATTGCCAGTACTATAGAAAACCCACTACTATATATCATGGACTACAGGACTATACTAGAATATTTTGCTGAATTCATGCACCTACAATATTTAAATGATAATGGAATACCCTTCCCTGACAAAACTACCAAAAAAGTGGGATACAAATGAAGGAGCATTTTGTATCTGTATATTCAAAATAGCATAGATATACAGCTGCATTCTCTTAATTCAATGAATAGAGATTTGTTCCAATAGTGTTTGTGAACAGGATATCATGGCTGCATCTTGTACAATAAATAACCACTAAGACAACAATATGCAATGTATTATTGAAACTGTGCTAGTAATCTGTTTTGAAACTGTCTCATTGATATTTATTTTTCAATAAAATTATTTTTAAACA